TAAAACTAACCTGAACTTCAACCGAAATGTCCAAAAGTATGAATTTGCAGGGAGTAACTCGAAATTCGACGGCAAATGAATTCGGTGATTGCACTGCAGGGAATTTTTAAATGCTTGAACTGGAACAGTTTAAGCCGTCCAAACTTCAAGAACGAATGGTCGATTACACATGAGAGAGGAAGGGGGGGTGAGACAATGCACTCAACTGGTCAGAATCGAAATACCAACCTACTGCTTTTATATTTAGATATTTCCAAGCTGAATTATGTAGGTATCTTTTCCGACTGGACGAAGAAACTTGGAAGTCCATCTTCCACACCAAATAAAACAAATTCGGCAGAGCGAGTCGTTTCATATTTAGGTAAGTTGGCCTTATCGATCGTGTAATTTACAAGAAGACAAATGCTGTTCAATCAACCACTTAGACTTCTCCAACAACGACAGTTCGACCGTCAGTTTCAATGACGTCCATCGGGTGCTTTAGCAGACTGAAGGCAAACTCGGCGATTTGCGGGTAAGTTAGTTCTTAGTGATAGTACACTTTCTATGCACCTAACGCACTCGCTATTCCCTTCCCTACCCCTGTCCGGTATCACGAGTGAGCTAAGAAGATCGGAGGCGGGATTGGACATAAGTCGCTAGGGCTGTCGAAGCCGTCCCTATGCGTACTACGATGTCCCCACCCATGTTCGGTATTTGTTATGGGATCGCAACCCAAACAACTCCTGTCGTGCGCTGATCTGTCCCCCGGGATGGTCCAGCGCCTCTCCCACGCGGTCCTTTCAGGGGGCCCAGACTCCTTCAACAAGTACATGCTACCCATACATGCAGTCAAAGATGAAATATTGACCTTATTCAAAAAACAAATAGAGTATGTTCCTTGGACTTTACTCAAGAAGAATGATTTTGAATTTGGTGCAAATGTCTCATTAAGGTTATTACGAAGACAAATAAAGCACGTCACTTGCGAGTCATTATACTACACTAAATCCAGAATTGATTTGCTTGCATATCAACTCCCCAGAATGGCTTTCGTGCTGTTGTCAAAATTCCAGCATTAAATAAACGCATGTCAACGGGCTTAATTGCCAATACAAGCGAACATGCGAGTCCCAGGAAGTAATTGAGAAGAAGAAAATTCGATCGCTGGGACAACACATTTATTGGCCTAACGTTTTGACATCCATCACTGATTCTTAATCAGAGACAGTAGTAGAAAACAGTAGTAGAAGCGGGTGATACATGCACAGGAAGTTGCAGTATTTACAGGAAAGAGTCATTACTGCACACTTAGGACAACGACAATTAACGATAATTGCCCTCTTGTGCGTTACTTGCTTGCTGACTGGCATATGGGCCCTGACCTGCTGAACATACATCACGCGTGGTGGAATTGAGCGTGATGATTGCTCGGCCATCTGGTTCCTCTGTTTTTGCGTAGGACTTCGCGGTGGCCTGCGCGTTCCCCAAGTGGCGACTTGTTTTGGCCAAATTGAGCCTCAGCACTGAATATGGATTGGGCAAGTCGTCGTACTTGTTTAGGGGCTGAGAGCCCGTGAATCATGACTCATGTACTTCTCGGCCCCAAAGTGCACAAAATGGGCGCTCCTCGCCGACCGATCGTACCATTGAAAGGCACTCCAACGTACAGACTGGCAACTGGGCTGTTTCGGCGTCTCAAAATTCTGACCGCTGATTCGGAGACCACGGTCCGTTCATCAACACATTTCTTGGAGAAACTTAAAGGGTATGTTTCCTGCCAAGTGATGTCATGGTCTCGTTTGATGTCACGTCAATTTTTTACTTCCATACCCCAGGATCTGGCAGTCGAGACTGTCGAACTACCCCTACGAAGTAAATACGATGAGACGGAGAAGAGCCTTGGACATGCCAAAACCCTACAGCTCCTGAAATTCTGTCCCAGAACATACTTCATGTTTGACGGAACAAACTACGAGTAGGTGAAGGGAACACCAATGGGTTCACTGATTTCGGGTCTCACAGCCGCGGCGGTCCTACAACGGTTAGAGTCGCTAGTCTTTCAACACCTCAGACCGAGATTCTGGGGGCGGTATTTGGATGAAACCTTCGTCTTCATCGAACGGGATCAGGTGCCCACGTTCAAGGAACGACTCAACAGCTCCTGCCCGAACATAAAAGTTACAATGGAGGAAGAGGACAACCAGCTGGCCTTCCTTGATATCCTCGTCTGTCGCAAATATTGTGGTGGCCTGAAAGCCAAAGTATTCAGGAAAAAGACAAACACGATGCAAGTACTGAAATTCCACCCAACCGCCCAATCAACAACAAATGCAGTTAGGTAAGGACGCTTTATAGATCCATTGAGACGCACTGCGGTTAACCAGAAGACAAAGTTGCCGAAATACAATATCTTCGACGGGTGTTCAGAGAAAATGGCTACCCGCGCAACTTCGTCGGCCGGTGCTTGCGCAAACGAGATGGACAAAAAAATCACACGGACCCCAAATTTTAGCGAGCGTTCCCGTACGCCAAAAACGTCTCGGAGACCGTCGGCCGCGTTCTCACACCACTTGGAATTGAAGTAACATACAGGCCGAATGCAACTATAAGGCATCAGATAATGAAACCGGAAGGCCCACTGCCGCGACAGGAAATATCTGGAGTCTATGAGATTTGGTGCAGTTGCGGACAAAGCATCTACGTCGGAGATACTGGAAGAGTTCTCAATACGCGCATTGCCGAAGACACGGCAGCAGTGTGGCGAAATGATGCCAATTCCCAAGTTGCGACTTATTCGACAAGACCCGGCCACACATTCAGATTTCATGAGGCCGAAACTCTCGCAATAGGTGATAATCGTATGAGCCGAGAAATAATTGAGTCATGGTTCACGGTCTCCCAGTCCATAAACAAGTGCAACGACTTGCCCAATCCATATTCAGTGCTGAGTCTCAATTCGGCCAAAACAAGTCGCCATTTGGGGAACGCACAGGCCACCGCGAAGTTCTACGCCAAAACAGAGGAACCAGATGGCCGAGCAATCATCACGCCCAATTCTACCACGCGTGATGTATGTTCAGCAGGTCAGGGCCCACATTCCAGTCAGCGAGCAAGTAACGCACAAGAGGGCAATTATCGTTAATTGTCGCTGTCCTAAGTGTGCAGTAATGACTCTTTCCTATAAAAACTGCAACTTTCTGTGCATATATTACCCGCTTCTACTACTCTTGTCTCAGCGATGGAATCTTCTTCTTCTCATCGGTCTTAATTGTTCCATGCTTCGAGGATTTAAATAATCATAGTCGTGCTTTTTACATTCAGCAATAGGTTTATGGCCCACTGTCGTGGCCCGAGGTGATCCCAGTGGGGGTTCGCTTCCGCGAGCGGGGTCCGAAACATTTGGATGGACTGCAGACAGACGACGTGCGTGTCTCGTGTTAGATCCGAATGGCAAATCGATACAAGTGTAAAAGCCCCTGCACGCGCCCGAGAGAAAATCTTGTGCTTCTCCCCCGCCCGGAATGGCTGCCAAAGGTGGTGGCGGTGGTACAAAGCTCAAGGGCTTTCAAAATGTGATGAACGTGGACCTCAAGGCGGAGTAAGTAATTGGCTGTTTCGTTAAACTTGCTTGTTGTTGGCCGGTGGCGCTGTGCCATCGTCAGATATAAGGCTTCGACCAACATGTCAGGAAGTTTTAGCAGGAAAAATCTGTTCTTCCATATCTACCCGAATGCTTTTTTTCCTACGGCTGCCATGCCCATTACGAAGGCATATGTAACTAGGTTAGGTAAACCTAAGGGAGAAAATAGATGCGATGACAAAGAATCAGCTTTCACCGACCTCGCGTGCCCAAGTTAATCGAGCAGGTCAATAGCTTCCGATCATAGCTTGACAAGAAATCGGAGCTAAAACCATTCGTGATGCGTCTGAAGGATTAAATGGGTATTTTTGCAAAGAGTGGCCGATTTTCAGGAAAGCTAAAAGTATCATGATTGTATTTTATTGTTTTATTTTGATACAGAACTGACCTTCACTTTAGAGAGATGGATTTGCATTTGACGAAAGACTACTGCATTGCAAAGGCCAGGAAGCGAGGTTTTGGGATCTTTCTATCTCATACCTCGTATATCGCTTAAGCGGAAGATGAATAGTGGCCTAAATATCAAAACACATTAACTCACCGTTGAGTAGTTACAAGTGTTGCTTATAAATTCGAAAGAAATATACACCTTTTTACCAGACACAAGTTCTATCTCGAACCCGTAGTTTTTACATATTTAGCGAGCTGCCTCAAAACGTAATCGACGGAACCTGTTAGGGCCGACTAGCTGCGGGTTAAAATTGGGCCAGATACTGGGTAGTATTAATGGAACCTGGACAAGGAGCGCCAGTGAATTGAGATTGGCATGCATACTTCTGCGAAAGTAAATATCTAATATAGTTGAAGGTTATTCAGGTGGTGCCTAATGCCGCGAAGCGCGTTGTTACTATCTAACAACAACAACTACTACTACTACTTACTACTTAGATCATTGGACTCCTAACTAACAAGGTTGCGGGTTCGAACCTCGGGAGGAGCATCATTTGGGGTTAAGTATGGCTGGCTTATGTCAGCTAATATACCACAAACAGTCATTCTAGTCGCCCTTGTCTTTGTCGATAATATCATTTTGCCTTTGTCATTAGCCGCCTTGCGGTGCGTCCCGAGTGTGAGCCGAAAAGGCACAAAAAGGACAAGCGAGTCCTGTTATCGATAGGTGAGCGGCTAGCTGCCAGTGTGTATACAGCAGTCGCCAAAGACCATGCAACTTTA